TTCTTTCTTTCTTTCTTTCTTTCTTTCTTTCTTTCTTTCTTTGTTCCTTCCTTCCTTCCATTTGGACAAGAGCATAATAATACAAGAGAATATTATAGAGTTTGATTTAGGTACAGAAGGTGTATAATGACTTTCCTACTACTATTCCCTTCAATTATCTTGACACAAAACAAGATAACACACTCTCTGATCTTCTCCAGTTGGCTGATCTTCTGATAAATAAGGAGGTAAATGGCTGAAACTGAGAAAGTCTCATTCTGTACTCCCACTTCTTCCTGAAATGTCACATAAAGGGAAAAGGTAGCATAGATGACAAAATTTTTGTTTCTCTTTGTAGCAAAAAAAGGGAAATAAATATTCAGAGACAGACTTCATTGAATAGAGAACCCAAAATTGATACACATATAGTCAAATCTTTCCACCACTATTACTAAGATTTACTTCCTTGAATCCTGGTCAAAAGGAAGAAACTTCCAAGTAGGAAAGAAAAACCTAGATTGATAATAACCTGAGGAAAATTGAATCCATGTCACTGCTTCAGAGAATTTTAAAGATTGATATTCAACTGAGCTCAGAATCTTCATTTAAAAAAAAAAGCTTATACATTTTAGCAATAACATGATCATATGTACAGTTCTTGTTTCAAGTTCAGTCTTACTTTGTTTAAAACCAAGTTATTTTATCTATTTTAAATCTTTTGAATAATTATACATACAAAAACCATTGATAGGAACATCATTTTATTGCCAGCTCTTCTCTTGTTTTTATTTCACTTCAAATTTAAGGGGTCCTACAGGACAAATACCAGGTCACTTCTAGTTACTGTGTATTAAAAGAACTCAGCTTGTAATGATGCATGACATAACCTTATATGCAAGTAGACACATTTTTTAAATTTATTTTTACTTTATTTTGGGAACAGGAGAAGTAACAGATCTGAAGAGACAAGCTGTGGAAGAAATGATGGATAGAATTAAAAAAGGAGTTCATCTTAGACCTGTTAATCAAACCAACCGTATTAGGGCAAAGGTTGGTAGATACTAATTTACATAAAAATGAGGGAGAAGGGTTACTTTCTACATAAATTGATTATCACCTTCTTATGATTGAACTTTTTGTTTTATGAAAATCCTGTCTGTTCTGATCTGCTATTTTAATATGACAGGGTTTTATGTCATTGCTTAGATTGAGGTAGGGTCATCAATATTAAGAAGCCATTGGCCAATTTTCTGATTCAAGAATCTTTAGACTTGAATAAGATTCTAGTACTCAGAATACAATGTTTTGATCCTGGTAGTTGGATCAACTCTTAGCTCATATAGAGTAAGCTATGTGTAGCAAAAAATATGTGTATGCTTAAAATGACTTTGGTTATTTAAATAGAAACCTTATAGATAATACTTTTTAATAAAAAATGTGGATTCTGTCAGTCACTTGTCTCAGAGCCTCTTCAACTGCTCTTAGGCTGACTCTGAAGAAAAGAAGTTGATTTTGTTAAGTTTCAGGGGAGAATGGAAATCACCAGCATTGTGATTCATTCTGTATTATTACTGTTAAGTATAATCATATTTGAACAAGCTATTAGAACTTTCTTTTTTTAATAAAAAAAATATTCCAAACACACAATAAAAACCCATCCAACTTTCTGCCTGCTTTTCTTCTTCCTGCCCAACTTATATATAACTGCTACGTTCCAAAACCTTATCCTTCAAAATAGATACTTTCCTTTGGAATCCTACTTTTATTTTTCTTTCTGTAGATTGGTTTGTTTGTTTGTTTCTTTCTTTCTTTCTTTCTTTCTTTCTTTCTCTTTCTTTCTTTCTCTTTCTTTCTTTCTTTCTTTCTTTCTTTCTTTCTTTCTTTCTTTCTTTCTGACTCTTGAATATTTTAGTTAGCATCTGCAAAATCAGATTATCTAGATGAATGTTTTGTTTTTAATTACAGGCAGAGGCACCCAAACCCAGCGAGAGTGCAGTGAAAGAACTAAAAGGAATACTGGTAAATTGGACTGGGATATGGCAGGGTAGGGGTGGAAATGGGATGGAAAGAGGCAGGGATGCCAACTATTAATTTTTTTCCCCTGGTAAAACTTGGTGATATTTGGCATATATTAAAAAAAGATGCAGACAGATATCATAAGATCTGTGGGTGTCTCATAATTTTATCAGTTTCTGTGGGTCTTTTACAGAAAGAATGTGGGTCTTCAACCTGTAGAATGAATAAGTTCTTAGTACTAGCTATAATAAGATCTAATCTGCTACTTGTACATCTCTTCTGTACTGGAATTAAAAAGAGCACTTTATAAAAACCAACTTCTAATACGCTCACAAGCCTAGTCATTAGCACAGTGAGATGGGAAGAATAGGATCGGGGGACATAAAGCAAAATACTTATATGTATATTGTTACTGTGCTAATTATGCATTTTATGTTGGCCTCTGTATAATTGTGGTAAACAAAGTGATATTCATTTGTTCCATTTCAAGCGTGATGCAAAACAGCTTTTACTATTTGCTTTGCTACTAGATCTGTGGCCCGAGCACAATAGCAAGGACTGATTTGCTAATAATATGATTGCTCTGTTAAATTCAAAGAACTAACAAAATGCAAGATTTAACTTAATTGGAGGAAACATTGGGAATTAAATGCTGTTTTGCTTTAAGTCTTTAAAGATGTGCCAAGTTTAAAATTTATCCTGTGTTTTCATTTTTTCCCCATAGTCATTTTCAAGAGAATGTAGGCATAATCCAGACTCTATGTGCAATATGTTATAGACCATAACTTGGTCTATAATTTTAGAAGAAACCTTAGAAACAGATGGCGTGGGGTTTATTTACAATTACCATTAAGTTATCTTGATTCTCATACTGGTCATTTTTCACTGCTATATTTTATTGCAGGAGACTTTGAATACATCTGCAAGTTCCAGAAGTTTAAAATCCCTTGACACATATGGTAATGAAACAGAATTAGATAGAATTCTGAGGCTCAGAAAAGTGACAACTGATCAAGATAGTAGCAGTAAGTAATGTTTTCAGAACCTGCAACTGGATTATGTTACATTTTCAATAGTACTCAACTGATCATGTTTTTCTTACAAAACTATAATATGCAAACACTTATTACTAGGTAGAGGTCTGATCACATTTCCACCTAATTTGTGTTCTTATAATAATTGCGCTCTTAACATCACAGTATTGCTTAGTAAACTATTGGATTAAGCAAGCTTCTACTCCTTGGGCATTGAGATAAAAGCTGCTGTGACTTTTTCAACTAATAGGAACTTTTTCAGTTCATAAGATGAGCAGATATATTAACAGTTGGATATCATATTAATAATAACAAAGGGATGTCAGGATGGCCTGACACATTAACATATTTGTGACATTTGATAAGAACGTTTCTAAAACAACATAGTCCGAAATCATTTGAGTTTGGTAAATTAAAGGGCTGTTTGCAGCTAGACAAATGTGTTTCCCATTTAGCATCTTTCTGTAAATTTAACATAATCAGATTGACTACCGTTGGATAGAAGATCTTTTCAATGATCAGTAAAATTCCTTCTCCATGTATTCTTACTATGCCTGCATTATTTAATTAGTAAATCTTTATGCTGAACCATCTTGAAGCAGTTTTTAATTATAATAATATAACAGTAATTAATGCAATGTGAAACTAATATTCAACTAAATATCTTCATTAAAATGTGGAGGGAAAGAAGGAAAAATGAGTCTGCATTTGTAGCTGGAAAGAGGTTGAGTTTTCAGCAGCTGCCTAAATGTAATATAGAAAAGCACTTCTTAAATTTCAGGAAGAAGAAAAGAGCACCGCTCCAGAAAAGGGCTGCTGAATAACAAGCTATCGGATAGCATTCAGAATTTCTCAGCATGTTTACTAGGATCTTCCCCAATACCTCGGCGATCAACCAAGATTATAAATTTAATGGGATAGACAATCTATTGATGTCCTGGTCCCACTATATATCATAATTAAAATATCAAATCAGAATTAGTAGCCATTTGTTAAACCAGTGCTGTTTCTTCAAAGATGTTATCTTTAGGGCCAGGTGTCCCATTCAGCAACTTGGTGACCACATTCTGCAACATCGTCAACTATTTTTTATGCAAATTGCTATGCAGAAGTGTTGCACTCTATAGGTTTTTGCTGTTTCTCTAAGCCATCTTAGGAAGGTGTTGTCTTGAAAAATGGCAAATAAAAAAATAAGTAGCCAGGAAATAAGTTTTCTATTATTATTATTTTTTGGCAAACATATTCCCTCTCTCATTTTCCTGGTCCATTACCATGCATATCCAAATAATACAAACATGAAGGGAGAAAGTGAAAACTGCATGTTGTTGGATGAATATTGGTATACAAGAGAGCAAAAAAACCTTTTTCAACTACTAATTTTTTTTAAAAAATAGTGTGTCTTTTTTAATAGAATAAACAGAAAATCTTTCTTGGAATATGTAGTTCAGATTGATAAAATGTTGTAGAAAACATCTCTGTGGTCCATTGATTTGAGTTTCATTAGCTACTCTTGTAAAGCAGTATCTGTTGAAAAAAGTAGGAATGGTCAGAGGTGGTCAAAGGATAACCTTTGCAGGTAAACCTCAAAGCACCTGCTTACCTAGTCTCTAAGTCTAGTAACTAAGTCACTATGGTCATGACTCTAACTTTGGAGAAAAAGCTCTATTTGATTACAAGCAATAGCAGTTAGACTTATATACCGCTTCATAGGGCTTTCAGCTCTCTCTAAGCGGTTTACAGAGTCAGCATATTGCCGCCAACAACAATCCGGGTCCTCATTTTACCCACCTCGGAAGGATGGAAGGCTGAGTCAACCTTGAGCCGGTGAGATTTGAACAGCCGAACTGCAGTCAGCTGAAATAGCCTGCAGTGCTGCACTCTAACCACTGCGCCACCT